ATATTTTTGTTGGATTGCGCAACTCTATACGTTTGGGGTAGTTTTCAAGTATGACATTTTTGTGTGTTTAGAACGTAGGCGGTCCCGGTCCACATCCCGGGAGAGAGACCGGAGGCGCCGAGAGAGGTCTCGGTCCCGCGAGAGAGATCGGAGAAGGAGCCGCTCGCGATCTCCACACCGAAGACGCTCCAGGTAAGATGCAGAAAGTAAGCCGTAGGTAGCTTTATCCCAAGTCAGAAAGAAACTGATCGTTTCTCTTCACTTTGTTTTGATCGCTATGGGGATTTACAGTTTCATGAAATAGGGGAAATTAAACCCCCCATTAATGTAAAGCTAAATTTGTCTTGGCTAATAGCAGCCAGTCTACATCATAGAGTTGTCTTGAGGAGTAAAGGAGAAATAATGCATGAAAACCACTTAGCATAGTGCTTGGCAAGCATAAGAAATAATTCTTTTGTATTTTTTTTAACATTTTGGTGATAATTTACTCAAATATGTAATTAAGAATTGGCGATCTTGGAAGAACCTTAGGAATGGACTTTAATTGTTAAAAAGCATCAATTACTGTTTAAGTCAGCCTTTGTTGTGTTTGTGTGTAATTGTTAGAAACTTTTTAAAGTTGGATTTTTCCACTTCACAAAAAAATTTCTAGCCCTAGATGTACTGAGTGTAACTGATGAATAAGGAGAGATTAAGCAAGAAACTATTTTTAAATTTTTTTGTTAACAATTAGGCCTTGGCAGTACCTTCTTCCTTGCTCTGCTTTGAGGAATGGCCTCCTGGTTCTCTGGAGCCTGGCTTTTTTAGCCTTCACCTTTCGGGAACTCATGTATGTTTGTGCTTATTGATACAAAGTCCCCATGTGTCTAATATATTTACTTATAATTACTAGATCTCCAAGACGACATAGATCCACATCTCCCTCCCCTTCTCGTCTGAAAGAAAGAAGAGATGAGGAAAAGAAAGAAACAAAAGAAACAAAGAGCAAAGAACGTCAGATTACTGGTAATGTTATTAGATAAGTAACTGTAGGAAAAGTACAGCCTGTACTTCTAATGTTATTAGATAAGTAACTGTAGGAAAAGTACATTAGATAACTCATGATAAAATTACAGAAGTTTAATTTTTGGCTCGACGCCTGTGGCTAAGGGGCCAGCCACATG